ACTGCTTCATCACATCAGGGTTTTTTTTTAAGTCATGTTTTGTGTCTTACCCTTGCAAAGACAAGTTACTACAAGCTGTGAAGCTTCATCATCTAGCAATAAAGAACTTCCCGCTCTTCAGTTGAGTAATAGGTACTTGTGACTTCTTCTGGAGAAGTCTGGACTTGTCTGTGCTGCTTGGGACCTTACGCAGGTTCATAGTTTGTGTTATGAATATGATGAATAGAGGCAATTCAGCTGCTGTGAGTTGTGATTTGGGGTTTGTTTTGTGGGAGTACACTGACAGGTCACATCACAAGGAAACCGCAGTAAATCATATCTCTAACTACATAAATTAACATAAAACTAACTATCACTTGGGAAAACATATTCCTTTTGGAATGCTACTAACCTAACTTGCTAGCTCGTATGGAATAGGCAGTAAGATGGGGTTTAGAATCTGTTCTGTACAATACCCCACTGAATAAACTCAGCCTGGTGTCAAAAGGATGCTTATCCATTAAATTACCCTGATATTTTTTTTCCTCCTTATTTCCTCCCCCCCCTCCACTGTATCATATAATCATAGAATAGTATCTTTGCTTTTTGTCTGTTGCATATTAAAGCTGCCTGCACTGTGAGAATATTTTGGTACATATCTTTGTAGTCCAGGAAAGTTAAATACATTTTGTAGTCTTGTAGCTGGTGCTGTGGCTTCAGGCAGGAAGGCTGCAGAATCGAGTTTTAAAGCTAATTGTTTAATTTAGATGTATCCTGTCTGCCTTTTATGGAATCATGAGCCTGTTTTTGCCTGTCTCTGGCTAGCAGCCTAACCAGAAAAGTTAAATAGGAAAAGATACTTTTCCCCTTTACAAGCAGGCCTGAACAAAAGATGTATTCAAACAGTGTTGGAGTTGAACTTCTAATAGTGTTGGAGTTTAAATAAACTGTGACTTTTATCAGATTTGCCTTATCCAATCTCTTGTCTTTAATTATTGCAAGGTCTTATGACCAAGGACTTTCAGTTGCTGACCTTGTTCTGCCTTTCTACATCTAATAACTCTTATGCCTGCTGTAGAAAGTGAAACTAAAGCTAGTAACTGTCCAAATGAAAAAGGAGCAGCTGAATTCTCAGGGTAAAATAAGCCCAGCATGTGTTGTCAGCACTTTTCAGTGTCAGAGCCCTTGAATATGTGTATGAGAACATCACCATGTACTTGGGAGTAAGTAGTAAATGGTCCCACTGAGCAAAACTGTGGAACATACATAAATCAGTTTTCTCTGGTTGTGGAAGCAGCCACTGCTGTCAGCTTACGCAGGGTGAAGACCTGGTCTTTATGTCTGTCAAGGCCATGCATGGACCTTCAACTGTGCCCAGTGTTCTGCTGGCAGTGAGCTGCAACACAGCTCTCCTCTCACCTCAGCCTCAGAGGGGGTAAGCTGTGAGAGTTTGGAAATGTCACTTCACAGCAGATTGTTAAATAAGTTCCTGTGCTCTCTTTGGCCCAAAACAAATGTAAATACATGGTGTGGAGTTCTGGATCCTGTGGGTCAAGAGTTAGGCTTTCTTGACTTCGTTGGAGGAACCTGCCTAGCAGTTGGGTCATCGTAGAATCACAGGGTGGTTTGGGTTGGAAGATCAAGTTCCATGGGCAGGGACACCTTCCACTAGAGCACGTTGCTCCAAGCCCCTGTGTCCAACCTGGCCTTGAACACTGCCAGGGATGGGGCAGCCACAGCTCCTCTGGGCACCCTGTGCCAGCGCCTCAGCACCCTCACAGGGAAGAGCTTCTGCCTCAGAGCTCATCTCAGTCTCCCCTCTGGCAGGTTAAAGCCATTCCCCTTGTCCTGTCCCTACATCCCTTGCCCAAAGCCCCTCTCCAGGTTTCCTGGAGCCCCTTTAGGCACCGGAGCTGCTCTAAGGTCTCCCCTTCAGGAGCCTTCTCTTCTCCAGGCTGAACCTGCTCTCTCAGCCTGGCTCCAGAGCGGATGTCTTGGATCATCCCCATGGCCTCCTCTGGACATGGCACCAGCAGCTCCACGTCCCTCTTGTGCTGTTCCCCAGAGCTGGATCAGGACGGCAGGGGAGGGTCTCACCAGGGCACAGCAGAGGGGAAGAATCCCCTCCCTCGACCTGCTGCTCATGCTCCTTTGGGTGCAGCCCAGCACACTGTCACTGCACAAGCAGCTAGTGCTTGGATTTGTGTGTGTGTTACTGCTTTTTAATACTTCCAGATGTTCTCAAAACAGGAAATGTGCAAGGCTGGTTCCTGGAGCATCTGAGAGATTTAGCAAAGGTGTTGGTGTAAAGGCAGATGGGTGAGCAGAGATCTTGAAGCCAGCAGATGTCAGGCTGTTACCGCAAGCAAGAAGCTGTGGAAGGATAAGATGATGCTCTGTGCTGACAAGTCAAATTGGGGGAAGCTACAGCTCATCTTCAGCTGCTGAACAGAAGTGGTGATGATTTGTGACTACTCTTCTGGACTAGTTTTATGGTTTGGTTTAGTTCTTATAGCAAAAGCCTGCGTGGGTATTTCAGTTCATGCCCATGCAGGGAGTTACCTTGTAAAAGCAACTGAAACCCTCCCATATGGATGCATGCTTGGGGAAGGGGCTAGTGCATATCAAGCGGGATAGTGCATACAAAGCAGTGTGAGTAAAAGCTGGAAAACTGACGTTAAGAACTGAAGTTGAATTTCTGATGAGGGAATAAGGCTGACACTGTGGGGTTTGGTTAGGTGCTCAGTGTGGGCTTGCACTATTTGTAGGGCAGTGGAAAGAACTGGGGAGGGAATGTGCATCAGTGAAAATGCAAGGAGAGGAGAAGCCTTTCACAAACTATCTGAAAAATCAATGGCACAAGAACTACAGAGAATTAGTGTTTTCCAAGAATAATAAGTCATGGCAAAAACCAAACCAAACCCCTGCCCACTTTCTAACAAGAATCTGTTTAAATTTCAATCTTAGGCCAAAAGAGGGAAAAAGAGATGTTGGGGTTTTTGTTTGGCTTGGTTTTGTTTGCTTTGGGTTTTTTATAAATAAGGGATTTTCCAAGGACTCAGACCACTGCAGGACAATGACTCTTTACTTGTTGATAGAGTTTTATTACATCAGATACTTTGTGATCCCCTCAGGAGATTTATCTGATGGCCTAAATGTATTTAGGATACCTCATGTTAAGCATCATGCTATAAAAAGGGCATGGATTTAGTCTTTACTGGCTGAAAATAACATTTCTCCTTCAGCATATGCACCTGTAACTTTGGCTGCTTTCCTTTGTGAAGCAGGAGAGTTTGGATGTATTAGAAATATAAATTAATTCAACATCATAATTATTTTTATCGTTGTAGAACTTCTTCTTGTCTGTCTTTATCTTCTATCTGCAAAATGACTGTCAGCACTTCCAGTGGACTCCAGGAGCAATCTCAGCTCCCTGACCATGTTTTTCTTCTTGTTACAGGTTGATCACTTTGGATTTGATGAAAATCTTACGTTCCAGCAGCGATATCTCATAGCAGACCAGCACTGGAAGGCAGACAATGGACCAATACTATTTTATACGGGCAATGAAGGAGACATCACCTGGTTCTGCAACAATACAGTATGTAGAAAATAGATTCTTGAATGACAGTCTTCCTTTCCAGTGGTGGCATACTGAAAAATAAGGAAGAACAAGGAGACCGTGTCAGAACATCATTTAAAGAGGTGTTTGTACTGGTTATGATTGTTACAGGAGGAAGAGGAAGCTGAATAAAAGCACAGAAAGAGTTTTAGGGGGTTCAGGGTCCTATCCAAAGCCCACAGAAATCAAAGGGGTGCACTTATTGCTGGGTAAGTGAAGGAAGTTTCCAGAGGAAGCATTATAAGGTGCTCCAAGCTAAGAATGCGAAAGTTTGGACCAGATTCCACCTATCCTAGTAGTTTAGAGTCCCCAAATAAAATGGGACATTTTGATGGGGCTTTTTTCTCTATGAAAGAAATGTGAAATGAAATGAAGGGGGCTAGAAATCAAAGATAGGTGATTCTTGTTCTCTGATAAGACCTGTGAAGCTTTTGCTTCCCTGACTGATACAAATACAGAATGGAGTGTGGGGGTATTTTTCACTACTTCAATGCAAAGTCCAGTAACACAACAGGAGGTGGCATGTGCTGAGCTGAAAGCCAGCAGGGACTGCTTATGCACTTTGCTCTGTCACCAGGTGGTCTCTGTCTGCCTCTTTCCATAACTGGTGGTAACAAGCTGCTGTCAATAAGTAATAACAAGTTGTAGTTGGTTATTAGTTGAAAATAAGTGTGTTGCAATGCTCTAGATTATTGTTTACTGCCAAACAAATGTTGTGTGTTCTGTCGTGTGATGCTAACTCAAATGCATGCTTTTGTCCTGGAGTATTATTTCCTATGGGTTAAATTCATGCCATAGGAGTTCTGGCAGCACGGCCTGTGTGTACTCACAAAACAATATTGGTTTAATGTTTTGCAGCATTAAAATACACATATTTTCTTTGTATGTGTCTCTGTCTCTAGGTGGATATCAGTTTTGTGTGTTGCTTACTTCAGTGATACTTCAAAGCCAAATTGCACTCTGTCTTCCTAGTTGTATTTTGATAGTGGTACCTTTCTAATCAAAGAGTAAGAGTTGGAGTACACTACACTGAAAGTAGAGACTTTGAAAAGAATTGCTTCAGCTTATTTCAATGTCTGTTTTCCTCCAACTAGGGTTTTATGTGGGATGTGGCTGAAGAACTTAATGCCATGTTGGTGTTTGCTGAACATAGATATTATGGAGAATCTTTGCCATTTGGGAATGAGTCTTTCAGCGTAAGTGTTGTCTTTCGTCTTCCTTAAATGCTTTCTATACAAACATAATGCTGCCTGTTGTAATTCTTACCTGTGCAATGACTGTTTAGCCCAGTAAGATTTAAATGTGCTGGAAGCACACAACTGGTTTTTGTAACTATCAATGCTAGGATAAAAAGAAAAAGAACTCTGAGATTTTCTAACACTTCAGGGGACACCTGCAAAGAAAATTCCATTTGTTATCAGGAGGAGATTTGGAATTCTGCAGCTGCCATGGGGGATACAAAGGCTGTTGCTGGGAATCACTCCTGTGCTGTATATAACCTGCTTCCTTTGTCTCAGGATTCCAAGCATCTGAATTACCTGACATCAGAACAAGCTCTGGCAGACTTTGCAGTACTCATTGAGTACTTAAAGACAACCATTGCTGGAGCCCGTTACAGCCCTGTCATTGCTATAGGAGGATCTTATGGAGGAATGCTTGCAGCCTGGTTTAGGATGAAGTACCCCCATGTGGTAGTTGGGTGAGTGTATTCATCCTGCTCAAACGCAGAGCAGGCATTTGTTATTTCCCTGCTATAAATACTACAGCACTGGGACAGGTACAATAATTCAAGCTGACTTGAGTTTATCACTACTGGGAGGAAGAATTATGTTACTTTTGAGTCTGGGAAGAGGCACTGTTTGACTAATAAAGACAGCTGTAGGTCAGAGGGTACTGAATGGTGTATACTTTCAGAGCTATCTGTTAGTTTTGTAAAAACAATTACTATGAACACTGACTATGCTCAATTTTTCTAGGGTCATCAGACTTCCTGATGACTTGAGGCAGGTCTTTAATCTCTTCAGTGCCTTAATTCCCCTCTGGGAAACAGGAATAGCGATTTCCTTACCTTTGTCTGCTGGATAGAGTAGATATTTGAGGGCAGGGGCTCTCTTCAGTTGAGTTTGTGCAGTTCCTGGTGAGAAAGACCTGGTTGCTAGATGAGAATGAAAAATACTAGCGCAAGTCTGATTTTCTGCATTATGTATTTACCTTTGTACTAGTGTCCAAGGCTCCCAGTCTTCAACAGCCTTTGCATGCAGACCTATGGAAGAGTTTTGCAACATTATGGTTAGTTTGTCTAGGGCTCAGTGTCCAAGCTGAATTATAGATGCTTCTTTGATCGTGGTTATGGGGAGGGTATTGACCAGGGGATGGGAGCTCGATTGTAGAGAGGTTCAGGATCTCTTTATGTCCCTTTGCAGAGCTCTGGCAGCCTCTGCCCCCATCTGGCAGTTTGGTGATTTGGTTCCATGTGGCACTTACTTCAGCATAGTGACCAATGATTTCAGAAAGAGTGGGACAGGCTGTGCAGAAAGTATCCGGAATTCCTGGAATGCCATTAACAACCTTTCCTTAACAGGTAAGGCCTCATCAATACTTTTTCAAAGGGTTGTAACGTTCAGGATTGTGTTGTAGAGTCATAGAATGGTTTGGGTTGAAGGGACCTTAAAGCTCACCCAGTTCCAACCCACTGCCACGGGAGAGCAGGTTGCTCCAAGCCCCTTTGTCAAACCTGTCCTGGAACACTGCCAGGGATGGGGCAGCCACAGCTTCTCTGGGCACCCTGTGCCAGCACCTCAGCACCCTCATAGTGACATGGTCTGGTGTGAGATGTCCCTGCTCATGGCAGGGGGTTTGGAACTGTATGATCTTAAGGTCCTTTCCAACCCAAACCATTCTGTGATTCAGTTCTCAGGACTCAGTTGGACTTGATCTTAAGGGTCTCATCCAACCTAAATGATTCTGTGATTCTACAGCTACCTTAGAGGAGGTTTGTAACAAGGTGGGTGTTGATCTCTTCTCTCAAGTACCAAGCAATAGGATGAGAAGAAATGGCCTCAAGTTGCACCAAGGGAGGTTTAGACTTAGTGTTAGGAAATCTTTCTTTGCCTAAAGAGTTGTCAAGCATTGGAACAGGCTGCCCAGGGAAGTGGTTGAGTCCCCATCCCAGTAAGGCATCTAGTTGTGGTGCTTGGGGCATACATTAGTGGTGGACTTGGTAATGTTGGGTTAACTGGTGGACTTAAGGCTCTTTTCCAGCCCAAATGATTCTATAATTCTATATCACGTGGGGTCACTGTACAGCAAAGGAGTTAAATGTGAAAAAAATCATTAACCTTGCTACTTCAGTTCAGTGTCCTAAGGAGAAAGCCTGGTGTGATGAGTTGGCTGATTCAAATCAAGGAAGCTGAATTGGATGAATTCCAGTCCAGATAAAATAATGAAAAGAAAGGCCAGGAGATACAAAGAGATTTATCTACTCACAGTGAAGTAGCTGCCTTGAAGCTTTCCTTTTATTGGAGAAGCATGCCCTGATGTTACTTCCTATCAAAAAACCATGCCCAGCGTCTTGTAAATCTTTGCTTGGAACTAGATGATCTTTAAGGTCCCTTCCAACCCAAACCGTTCTGTGAAGTCTGTCTTTGGTTTTTTATATAGATATCTTAGCTGTGACATACCCATACACTGAAGTATACAGGTTTTCTCTCTTCACTTAGAGTGCTGACTAAGATCTGATCTGCTGTGTTTGTATGTATGCTGAATAATTTCTCCAGGTTGCACCAAGGGAGGTTTAGACTTAGTGTTAGGAAATCTTTCTTTGCCTAAAGAGTTGTCAAGCATTGGAACAGGCTGCCCAGGGAAGTGGTTGAGTCCCCATCCCAGTAAGGCATCTAGTTGTGGTGCTTGGGGCATACATTAGTGGTGGACTTGGTAATGTTGGGTTAACTGGTGGACTTAAGGCTCTTTTCCAGCCCAAATGATTCTATAATTCTATATCACGTGGGGTCACTGTACAGCAAAGGAGTTAAATGTGAAAAAAATCATTAACCTTGCTACTTCAGTTCAGTGTCCTAAGGAGAAAGCCTGGTGTGATGAGTTGGCTGATTCAAATCAAGGAAGCTGAATTGGATGAATTCCAGTCCAGATAAAATAATGAAAAGAAAGGCCAGGAGATACAAAGAGATTTATCTACTCACAGTGAAGTAGCTGCCTTGAAGCTTTCCTTTTATTGGAGAAGCATGCCCTGATGTTACTTCCTATCAAAAAACCATGCCCAGCGTCTTGTAAATCTTTGCTTGGAACTAGATGATCTTTAAGGTCCCTTCCAACCCAAACCGTTCTGTGAAGTCTGTCTTTGGTTTTTTATATAGATATCTTAGCTGTGACATACCCATACACTGAAGTATACAGGTTTTCTCTCTTCACTTAGAGTGCTGACTAAGATCTGATCTGCTGTGTTTGTATGTATGCTGAATAATTTCTCCAGATTAGTTATAAGTGAAATGTGCTTTTAGCAGTAACACAGCTGACCTATGTGTTAATGGCACAATATACTAATTATTACTTTATCTTTTCTTAAAGGTGCAGGCTTACAATGGCTTTCCAACACATTCCTGTTGTGCAGCCCATTAAAAAGTCCTCAGGATGCTGTTCTATTGAAAAATTGGCTGAGTGAAACATGGGTAAACTTGGCTATGGTGAACTACCCCTACAAAGCTGACTTCTTGCAGCCTCTGCCAGCTTGGCCTATACAGGTGATTGAGAGTCAGTGTCTTGTAAAATTGACCATTTGATTTAACTAGTTCCCTCCAGACCATAAAATGTACTTGGAATGGCCAAATGTGGAAGCTGTGCTCTAACCTTGTCTGTAGGGAACAAGGGAGGGATCTACTTCCTAGCTTCCACAATGATAATGATGGAAAAGATTAGACAGGGGAGGGAAAGATAGAAAGTTCACTTCTTGGCCAATGCAAGCTGTGCATCTTCCAACCCCAATGTATACATGGAGCTTCTTTGTTATTTATTTGCGTGTGTTATCTTTTCATTACAGAGGAGCTAAGCACTTTATTATCTATTTTAAAGTATGGGGAAGGGATTGAAAAGCTTGCTGAATAAAACAGTACGGTTGCACTGTTTCTAAATGGTTTTAACCAGGAAATGTAAAGTTTCAGGATCCTCATAGTGGCATCCACGATGCAAATGGATACTGCTTTTTGTGATAATGCTCTGGGTGTATCATTGCATAGAAGGATGCTTCCTGGAAGCGGTCTGGCTGTATTATGACAAGAAATTGATATCCTATCAGGTATCATGTATTTATCATTCTATCTTACATATTTAGACTCCCCCTTCTCTCTTTGCTTCAGGAAGTCTGCAAGTTCTTGAAGGATCCCAGTCTCCCTGACAAGTTGTTGCTGCAGAATATTTTCCAGGCAGTAAATTTGTACTACAATTACTCAGGAGGAGTCTCATGCTTAGATATGTCTGAGACTGCAACAAAGAACCTGGGCCAGTTGGGTTGGTACTATCAGGTATGCACTTTGTCCGTTCTAAATTGCAACCCAGTGAGGTTTTTGAGCTCCAGCTGATGAGAATTGTCAAGTCATTCAGCTGTCAAATGCTGTTTGAGCTTCTTTATTGAAGCACTAACAGTCTCCTGGGAATACATCCTGTTGCCCTACTTGTACTTTCAGGCTTGCACTGAGATGGTGATGCCCATGTGCACAGATGGTGTCAATGACATGTTTGAGCCTCAGAAATGGGACTTTGATGCACTTTCAGAAGAGTGTTACAGGCTGTGGGGAGTGAGGCCTCGCCCCTCTTGGATTCTCTCTATGTATGGAGGGAAAAACATCAGTTCACACAGCAACATCATCTTCAGGTGAGCTTTGTTAGGCTTCGAGTGGAGTCTTCCACTGGTTTGGGTTGTCAGTGCAGAAAGCCTGCACTAAGCACTAAGTAGCAAAAGGATCTGTCTCCAGCTGAATAGAAGATGGGCATGCTTTGTGCTGCTTTTGAGAGTGAAATGGTCAATCTGCAATGGCCAAAGAAGCCAACTGTTCTGTCACTGCCTGTGTGACTCTGGGTTGGGATTCTGCCAACCATTCTTCTTCCCATGTGGAATCCTTATCTTGTGGCCAAAGTCCAGGTTTCCCATGCTGGTAAATCCCTCTGGCTTTTATGAAGCCAAAGCACTGTCTCTTCCACATAAAAGGAAAGTCTAAACAAGCTCTAGCTATAACACAGCATCTCAGCCACTGAAGTTGTTGCTCTGGGTGATAGCCTTGTGGAGGGGCTGGTGTGACATTCCTTTTTCCCTTTGATACAGAAAGGAGAGGGAAGTAACTTGAGGAGCTTTCCTGTTACTGCCAATTGCTCTTTTCTTTTAGTGGTAATTAGGCAAGTTTCATACAAAGAGATGTTCCCATTCTAGCAAGGCATATTGCTAATACAACAGAAGCTTGTCTGAAACACATTTGTATTAGGGCAAAAAGTGAAAGGACTGTTTCAGTCTAGTGCATGCTGCTTGCTTTCCACTCAGCCTTCACTTTGCTTATTTTTAAGGTTAAACTCTGCTTCCTTTAAAGGGAGGTTTATGTAGCTGTACTTCTACTGTGAGGTGATATAAAGCTATGTACTGGCTGTTGGTCAGGTTGTTGTATGGTGGGCATCTCCTGGAAATAGATATAGATATATATATATATGCCTCTGTGCTCTGGCTAAAACTGTTCAAGGCCTTTTAAAAAGCAAAACCTGCATTTCTTTAAACCAAACTCAGAATTAAGTCTGTTGGACCTGGTAAATAGGTGTGCATTTTAAAAGCAGAAACTCCTTACTTGAATTGGGGATTATGCTCTGGATTTCAGCTGTTACCATTGGTCTGTTTGGCTCCAAAGACCTGTTGCTTTCCACTAGTTTGCCTCTTGCTGTTTCTGTCCCAGCAGGGTATCTGCTTTGTAGTGAGAAATTCCACCCTTTTTTGGAGAACTTCTTAATAATGAAATAAAAATTGTTGGTTTAACTTATTTCCTGCAGGGTGTTCTTATTTCCAAGGCCTCACAGCTCTCTCTACAGTAGAAACCTACTTCGTAAGCGATGGACAAGCAAACAAATCTAAATAAGTGTTTAAGAATTTATGCCAGCTGAAGGAGCTTGAAATGAGAAAAGCTTGAAAGCAATCAAATGAGTGAAGCAGTGCTGTACACACAAAGCTGGGTTGTTTCTCTTCAGACAAATACATTGTCAACACTGTACATTTATATAAGAGCCTTTTATTCTTGAACACTACAGAGTGCTTTCCAAAAAATATCCCTATGTTTACCAGGGAAAGCAGCTCCCTGTGGGGTGAAAGCTTCAAGTGTCAGGCAACTTGCACAAGAGTGTAGTGCAGGGAGGGAAAAACACTCCTTCTGAAGAGAATCAGTGTAGGCTGGGTTTATCCAGGATGGTTGTACTGGTGTTGTCACTTCTCCCTCCATGAGCAGTGCATCGCTGCACATTCACACTGGTGGATGGTATGTTATCAATGCAGGAGTCTCCCTTCTTGGAGGTATGTAGTGTGTGAGTGGTTACTCAGTTGTAAGTAGATATTACTTCCCTGTCCTGGCCTGCACAACCTTATTAAAACACTGGTTTGAGGAAATTGGGGTTTTCAGAACCCTGTTTGCCCTTTTTCTTCCAGCAGTTTCCACTCCTGATACTCTAACACACTGTATTCTTGGTGTGGAAGTGCTGCACAGTGGAAATGGCATTTTAACACTGTTCAGGCATATGGTGGCAGAAAGCAGTTGGTAGTCTTGTCATCAGCATGTTATGGTAATCACAGTCAGCCCATGTTATATCAGACAGCACAGAATTTGATACGCACAGTCTAAAACCTGATGATTTTCCATCTGGTTGGATCACAGCTAAGCTGGGTGCTTTGAAGATAGGGCACCCATCTAGTACTGCATTGGAAGGGGAGAGGCAGAAAGTGAAGGCTCTGTTTTGAGAGATACATTGAGCCATGCGCAGACGGTGGGATTCTTACCATAAAAGAAGGGAGTGGAGGAAAAGAAGGCAGAACAGTGCCTGGCTGAAGAGAAAAGATGAGAGAAAAAAGTTAATAAAAGGAAACTTGGCAGTTGTGGAGAGTGGGCATGTTAAAAAAGGATGCACAGACAGAGCTGCTGTGGTTGCTCAGAACAAGGAGAGGTTTTACACAGGGCTGGGGGGCTGAGGAGGCTCTGAGGTGAAGATAGGAAAGGGAACTGTTTTGCTGTGGGATAGGCAGGACCCTATTTATGATGTCAAGGCAATATTATGAATGAAAACAGGACTAGGGTGCTGATACTTTGCATTAGGTTCTTTCTGAAGCCCAGCTGGCCACTGTTGGAAAGGAATGGCTGACTTCTTTATTCTCTTTTACTACTTCTGTTTACACTGGGGAAACTTCTGTCCTGTAAGATGGATGACTGGGTACTTATGTGTATGCTTAGCTTCAACACAAATAATCTATTCCTGTTGGTACTGAATTATCTTACTCTGTGAAACTGTTATGGCTTTGTGGTGAGCCCTCCTTTCGGCAAGTACCACTTCCCAAACTGTGTCAGTGCCTCTGGTGCTATCACTTGCCAGGAGCTGCAGAGGATGCAGCCAGAAGCTCCCAGAAAGGAGGGTTGTTTTCTTGTTCCATGCTTACTATCCACGTGATTGGGACCAAAAGATCCAAGTTCATGTACATCTTGGGTCTCTCAGCAACTCGCCCCCTGTTGCCAAGGTGCTCTGCTGATTGAGGCGACCTTTTAAATCCAGTGCTTTTTGCTCATTGGGCAGCTCTGGATGCTTTTTGTTTTGCAGGTACAAAATGTTTCTCTTCTAAGTCATATTGAGAATCACTGAAAATAAAGAACTACAGAGATCCAGGATACTTGAAGGGTTTTAATGAAGAAACAAAGTCTGAGTTCAGCCCCCATCGGGTTTTTACTCTTGGTTATTTCTACAAAACACTTTTTTACTCATTATTTCTTTCTGCTGTTTTCTGGTGCTGCCACTGTGGTATTTTTCTAGCTGCTTATCTCTTAATGTCTAAGGATGTTTTAATTTCATAGATCCTCTTCGAAATTTACATTGACACACAATAGCCCATCTCTGATGTTATCTTTTGGTCCAGTGTTTTAAGTGAGAAACAAGTCTAGATCTGCATAAGTCTAAAGCTACAAATGGGATGCAAAACTCTCACCCTAGTTCAGCCATTGGCTTGCTGTGTGAACCAGGCATTATTTGGAGCCAGATCTACACAGTGCAAGGAATCCCTTCAGTGATCTGGGGGAGTAAATTTCATTAACTTGTCCCGTCACAGAGGAAGAGTCTGTTTAATATGGTTTCTTGAGGGATAAATGCTTTAATAGGGTTGTTACATGGTCTGGGAATTTGCATGTCTTGGTGCAGGGAACCTGAACCTTTTCTGATCAAAGGCAGGTGGCAGCCTGAGACTGTGGCACTATTATAGGTCACTGCCTGAACTAGCAGGTGAATAATGACAGAAGTGTAGCCCTGCTTAAACTGCAGTAGCTCACACCTCTGTCAAGAAGGCTCCTTTCAGCAGAGGGGTGGGCACAAGACATTGAGGTCTGTTTCTGTCAGGACATATGTAAGACATTCTTTACTGTGAGGGTTGTTATCTTCCCTGTGAGGGTGCTGAGGTGCTGGCACAGGGTGCCCAGAGAAGCTGTGGCTGCCCCATCCCTGGCAGTGTTCAAGGCCAGGTTGGACACAGGGGCTTGGAGCCACCTGCTCTAGTGGAAGGTGTCCCTGCCCGTGGCAGGGGTTGGAGCTGGATGAGCTTTAAGGTCCATTCCAACACAAACCAGGCTGGGATTCTATGAAAACTAGTTGTGAGTTGACTGCTGTGCAGATGTACCTAATGAGATGTCCTTTCCTTACAGCAACGGTGGCCTGGACCCATGGTCTGCAGGTGGGGTGACCCAGAACATCAGCGCTTCCCTCGTGGCAATTGTGATCCCAGATGGAGCCCATCACCTGGACCTGCGCAGCCGCAACCCTTTGGACCCCAAATCAGTGCAGCAAGCTCGAGCCTTGGAGATCTGCTACATGAAGCAGTGGATTAAAGAGGCCAGGCACAGCCACTGAAGTGGTGCTGCAGCAACCGTGGCCACTGCACCTCCACTGGCTTTGTTGGGAGAAGGGCCAGGCCCTATCACATGGTCATTTGAACATTTCACTCCTGCTTCCTCACCTGTGTTGCAGTGCTAACCATTGCTTGTGCCCATGAGAGAAGCAGGCAGCAGATGATGAAGAGCATTCTCAGATAATGAATTTCAGTCCAAGTGCATGGATTGAGCTGCCTGCTCTGGCTTGCTTTCCTCTTCTGCTCTTCTCAAATGCTGTACTTCACCATGAAGTAAAGAGCTCTTGTTCCAGGGTTGATGCCTTCCTCACTGCACTAGGTGATTGTGCTGACTGCTGGTATATACAGTGATTAAATGGCAGTGCTGTTAATGATGAAACTCCTGCTGCCTTCAGTGGCATTGAATTTCAGACATCTTCAGCTGCTGTAAACCATCAGGAGCAGGGAGATAACGGGGAGCAGAAATCACATCTTAGTGTGATGTTTGGAGAGGTAGGGCAGTGCTGCCTGTGAAGAAACTAAACAGCCCTTCCCTTTGGGAATCAACACTGGAAAAGAAGTAAATATTTCCTTTTTCCTTCATTTTCTGGCAGCTTATTAATCACAGCTGCCTCAGGTGGCTTTTCCATTCTGTGCAGTACTGAATGGTCAGGGCTGGGCCCAGACTCACTATGCTGGTAACTGGCTGAGCATGCACAATCTGCAGCAGGGTTTTGTTCCTGCCTTTGCTGTTTGTCCTGCTTCCAAACTATCTGCCACTGTGATGATGGTTGCCAAAGAAAACTCTGGGTGTATTTTGTGTGTCTGTGTATGTGTGTATCCCCCACAAGCACTTAGTTCTTTCAAGCCAGGAAGCTTTCGAAGCTATTCTCTTGAGCAAACGTGACACTTGTGCTGGCTACGTCTTATGAAGTGACAAATAATTGGGGCTGTGCCTTGTGGGGGTTCTTCCCTCCCCCCCTGTTTTGTGCATTGTTCACATTCTGCACGCTCTGTTTGCTGATGGCTCTTCAATAAAAGCCTTTCTCAGAAAATTGTTTGCAGGACAAACTATTGAAAGCCCAGAACGCAGCTTTCCCCTCGGAGCAGCGCGGAGCCTGATGCTGAGCTCACCCAGCCAGGTGCACTGGCCTTTCTGTAAGGCTTCCAAACTGCCCTGATTCAAGGGACAGTGTATTTGACATTAATAAATGGCTGGGGCAGTCCCCTCATCTTCCAGCTTTGGCTTCACTCACACTGAAGCCCTTCTTCAGAAAGGAGTCTTTGCAGTTTAAAGATGACTCCATTTCGGAAAGACTCAGCCTTGTCCCCAGGCTCCTAAAATTCCAGTTCTCTGGAAAAGTTCTCTCAGCTGTGATGACATGCCTGATAGTTGAGTATTTTCCTAAGACATCACGTTGCCATCCACAAAGAGAACCCAACACTGAAATTTCATCTTTTAAACCCCTCCTGTACCTCTTCTTATCAACCAAGTTCGTGGCAGTCCCTTGCCTTGTGTTCTGCAATGAGAACCTCTCCTGCTCTTGAGCAAGGTAATTGCTACAGAGAGAAAGACCAGAGAACTACAGGGGGAAAAGGAAGAGTTATATAGAATTTGCCTGAAAGCTGTTGACTGGAAGCTGTTGGTAATCCCTTTTCCAGTGGTTCTGATTCTTGGTTCTCTGCTGTGGATGGGCTCCACTCTCTCATCTCACTTGTGTACTTTATAATAACATGGTGGCTTGAATTTTTTCTTTAAACCAATAAAAAATATCATTTTCTTAATCAAGTGGGTTACAGTCAAGTTTTTAGAAGTACCATTGTATCATATGAGGTGTTATTTGCTGTGTGGTGGTGTCCTGGTTCACTGCAAGGCAAGGGATGGAATCTACAACAGCAAGTGTGAGTTTGGGGATCACAGATGGTTTAACTGAGCAAGCAAGAGCCTGAGTTTGCTGCTTGCACTGATTGCTCTGGGTAATACTGCAGATTCTGGGATAAATATTTCCATGTTGTATGGGGAAAGACATGGGGATATTCATGTGTTGGGATGTAGATGGTCCAAACTAACAGCAACTGTATGTTGTGGATCTGCTTGTCTCCTCCTCTCTCCCCCGCTGCCTAACTTACTGCCTCAGGAAATAGCAGCTTCTCTGTTGTCTCTGTTATTCAGTGTGGTTTTGTTTGGGGTTTCTTGTTTGTTTGTTTAAAATCTCACTATTCCATTTAGTTTGTATCTGTGAGACTGATTCAAGTGTGTTTTGGATCAGGTTCTTACTGCTTGGACCAGCTTAGGAATTAGGTGATTGGCTTTCTGTTAGTTTTAATTGCTCTTTCTTTTTCTTTCCTTCTTTCCCCTCAAGTTGAGTAGTTGAAACTTTAGGTCTTATTTATCTTAAGCATTTAGAATTAACTTAAAATCTATGTACACATCTTTATGCTACTGAGGGACCGTCTATGGTTATTTGGCTACCTCGCCTAAATCCTAGCTCTCCTGCTTGTTTCATGCAGGTGGGAACAAACTGGGTCATGGGAAGTGGCTGATTTCCCCTTCCAGGTGTATGGTGATGGGCCACACTTCATCTCAGGCTTAGGTATCATACAATAGGGTTGGAAAGGACCTTAAGATCATCTAGTATGTCCTTGCCATGTATCATAAACGGTTGGAATGAAAACAATGATGTTTCCTACTTGCTGGGGAAAATGCAAAAGGAAAGTTAATGATTGCCCAAAGCATGAATCTTACTGGGGAAACTGCAGTTTGTATCAATAAAAATCCATTCAAATCAGGAGATGTGAGTTAGTGGCACCGGATTTTGTTTTGCAAGGACATGGATTTTTCTTCCTTGTCAGATTTGGAGTTCTGCAAATAACGTTGTCTTGATTGTGCTTGATTCTGGTGGAATGGGAGGAAAAATAGTGAAGGAAATCCCCAGGTTGCACAAAGTGCAGTAGGTGTTGAGCCTCTGTGCTCGTTTGGTAGTTTCTTATTTCGGAGGTTTAGCTGCGGGGTGAGGAGCAGGTATATCATAGAATCCCAGACTGGTTGGGTTGGAAGGGACCTTAAAGCTCACCCAGTTCCAACCCCCTGCCACGGGCAGGGACACCTTCTGCTAGAGCAGGTTGCTCCAAGCCCCTGTGTCCAACCTGGCCTTGAACGCTGCCAGGGATGGGGCAGCCACAGCTTCTCAGCACCTTCATAGTGAAGAACATCTTCCTAATACCTGATCTAAATCTCCCCTCCGAGTCCCCAGTGCTGTGCCCGTGTGTCTCCCCAGGGGGTGTTGCTGCTCGCAGGGGCTTTCCCCTCCGCTGGTGATTTGCAAACCCTTTTGGTTCAATCCCCAGTTTGGAAAGTAGGGGCAGCGAAACACTGGGAGTAGCAAATCCCTTCCGTTTGTCTTGATGTTTTCTAATGTATGCGACCTCTCTGGGTGGTTTAAGCGGTTTAGGTACTTTCTATAAAGGGGATCTTTTAATGACAAAACTAATGTGATTATCTTACCAAGTGTGAGAGGCGTATTCAAGGTTTAAAGAAAATCTGTTAGAATAGCTGAATGTATCTGCTTAATCCTTTCTCTAATGTGGGTGGACAATGCTCTGGGAAGCAATTGGTCTTTCTTTCTTAGAGTAAATGCCTGGTCTCCAGAGGTAGGAACTTGTTTGCAGCTCTTTATACCCTTATGCTTCACCTTCCAGGGAATACAAAGGCACAGGAGAGAAGCAGAGAGCTTTGAGAGGCCAAGTTTTTCCTCAAATAGCTGGGGGTGTAACCAATACAGGCCCAATTCCGGCAGGCGGCCGAGCACCCTCTGCTCCTTTTGACTGCCCCCTGAATAGAAGCTTCTCCTTTTGCCCTCCAGCAAAACCACGGTCCCCACAATGTGAAATACAGCAACGCTTTCCCCTTTCTGAGCATCAGGGAAGCTGCTCACACTTGCTGGGGTGGCAGGACCCTGTGTTGAGTGAGCAGCCCTTCCCACATGGACCCACGGCTTTGGGGAATTCTTCCAAAGGTTTCCAGATCAACCCTTTGGGAAGGTTTGAGGCTGCTGATAAGTTATTGCAGAGTGATGCCTGAGCAGGGGTGAACACAGCATGGGGACAGCACTGAGGGGTGGTGCTGTGGGATGCAGCTATAGCTGGACCTCGGCTACTGCCAGCCTGGCATTGGGCAGGTCCTCCACTGTTCTGTTCATAGGTCTGTGCTTGTGAAGCTTTGATTTCCCCATGTCCATCTGGATGCACAGGTCTTGGAAACGTTATGAAATCCTATTGTCCACGATGGTTAGCAAGATAGGTCAAATGCTTCACCCACCTTGGTGAAGTATTTAACAAAACAAGTCGTGGCTCTGGGGCTCTTTAGCCTGGATTTGGCCTTACAGCAGGAGCAAACAGGTTGCATTTTGTAGTTTGTTACCCAAATATCCTCAAAACAGCACATGAGGAAAAGGATATTTGGCTGCTGTCTTTCCCAGTTGGAGTGAAACTTATTGTCTCCTGTTACCCCCCTGTAGACTAACACAGGGAAAAGAGGTACCTTAATGTCAGAGTGTCCTCTTCATGGAGATAAGCAGTGAGCTACAGCCCTACACGGTGGTCTGGCTATCCTGGCCATGGAACTGGCACTGTGTTCTCTGTTGTGGAAAGAAACAGCATTGAAGGACTTAGTGCACAAGCTAAAAACCAGTCCTAGATAGTATCAGACTGAATCCTGTGAAGGAGGAGAAGTGATTTGTACAGATGAGACCATGGCACCACCCCAGTGTGCTGTGTAATCAGTGATCATAACGTGGTTCAGGTTGAAAGGGCCTCAGGAGGTCTCTGGTCCAACCTCCTGCTGACAGCAGGATCAGTTATGGGGCTGGACCAGGATGCTCAGCGATACAAGTTCACTTGGGTCCCCAAAACCTCCAAGGATGGAGCCTGCACAGCCTCTCTGGGCATCACCTGCACATCATCTCTGGGCTCAACTGTCTGCGTGGTGGAAAAGTTTTGAATCTAGTCTGAACCTCTCATTTCAGTTTATATGTGCTTTTATCCTCCCATCGTGCACCATCATGAAGAGTCTTCCCTGTCTTCTTGAT